CTAATTGAGCTAATATCCTATATTTCATATAAAATGCTGACAATGTAATAGACCTCGGAAAAGGAAGGGGGAGAAAAGTAAAATAAGCGGAAAGTTATGCGGGGCGATTAAAGCGCGTCTTCTTAATTGACTCGCGTCTTTATTAAACTCGGGAATAATATCGGACTAATAACGCGTTCTTCAAACGCGCCTTCTAGGTTTTCACGTTATTCGAGCCCTTCTTTCGCGCGGCTTCGCGCAATTATTCTCTCTCTTCCTTTATCGAAATTGGAATTTACCGGGGCCGCTATAAATACGCGGGATGCACAAGAGCGACTCGAAATAATGCCTTGGACTACTGTCCCGGCGGCGTAATGCAGCGTGCGATTCCTTGAGATCGTCTTTTTTTCTCACACTCTCTGCTGCGGCCGCCGCATTTTATCATCGCGCGAGCGACGGCGCGAGCCTCCCTTCGCCCTTTGTGTATTCCTTTTCGGTTCGTTTCCCCCGAATCAATAAAATTCCTTTATGTCGACACACGCCGGGACAGCGTTATAATAAACCGGGAAATCGGCCGCTAACAAAGTGCCTAAAGATAATAGATAATCGCGCACAATAATGACTACTATACTATAGCGCTCTACAGGGTGTCCCAAAATTATCAGCCTTATCAAACGTAGATCTCCATTTGTAATTCGTGTTTCGCGTCGAATCCCAGAATCTGATTTCAATTTCATTTCTCTTTGCACGGAAATTGCATGCAATCGTGTATTATATACTAGAAGTTAAATATTTTTTTAATACTAAATGTAGATTGTAATCATCCACTACCAAATAAATAGGACAAATTTAATATAAATCTTCTCTTTGCAAAAAAAACTTTGCAAGAGTGCATTATTCCACGCAAGCTAAGTTTAAATATTCATCATATCCTCACAATCGAATCTTATTCTAAATCTTATCTTTGTACCTTAAGTGTTATATCAAAATTTGATAATAAAATTTTATTGTAAGTTAAACATGAAAGATTCTTTCGAATCTTTATAAAAATTTCGCGTAGTTGATTTCGATATTAAAATAAATTTCTCTTCATTGCTTATTATCTTTATATTGAAATATATTTCTTGAGATAATTCCAAGACATATTATATGTAACCAGCGAACGAATCAGTCAAATGTATTGTATCAAGGCTCATATCAAGGCTCTTGTCTGAGATAATAGCTTACGCGGCTGCTTTACGCACGAAATTGCTTGTTTACTCGCTTTATATAATCGCACGGCTGATTTTACGATGTACAAAAAAGATTGTACTTATATAGTTTCTGGAAATTACGCGATTTTTACTTGCGATCGGCGAGCGATAATAGGATACAATACGGCGATCGGCAGGGACGGACACGACGTTTTGATAAATGCATTACGTCCGCGACTCTCTCGTGGTCGTTAATTTATCGGTATGTCGATAACGCAATTAACAAGTTGTAAAGTATATGCGTTATTGCATCGTAAATTAGACGCGTTGCATCACTTTTCAGGTTTGGAGCGCGGACGCGCGCTCTTTTTTTCGCGGCCACGTTTGAATCCCGCTAACAACGGGACCGTTCTTTCTAAATACACTATGAACTTTTTACTTTTACCATCTCTTCTTCCTCCTTTCTCACGTCGTGAATGTACACTCGTTTCATTTTAAGCGTGAGAGATAAGAATAAATGCATTTAATTTTATTATGCACAAGTCAAATATATTTCTTTGTGCCTCACTACTTCAATATAACTGCATTATACGGAATAAAATTTGCAGCTTATATTTGTTCAGCTGAATCCACTGTTCCAGAAAGGTAATAAACTAAAAAATAAATTTCATTAGAAATAAAAGAAATTTCATTAGAAATAAAAGAAATTTGTTTATATTGAGTGATATAAATTTTTTGATTTTTTTTTCGTTCGATGAAACGTGTAAATTACAACGTCTAATATATACAGCACAGTTTTTTGAATTTTGCAATATTGGGAATGATAAACGATTTATTTTTCTTTAATATCAGTTTCTCTTTCCGAATGATCGTCTGCCTCCAACGAATTTCGAATACAAATATTATAACACATTTAAATATTAAAAAATAACAATGGAAATAATATTAAAATGTAACAAAGAAAATGAATATTGAAAAATAACAAAGCAACGAAAGAAAAATATGTAATTCCTGATACAGCTTATATATCCGAGCGGAAGACGTGTAATTATATGCCAAGACGCATAAATATAAATATTAATGTCGAATTGCATTATGGGCGAGATATTCGAAGAGATTATTCCCTCGCAGCGATTGGCATTAAATTCGAAAAATCGATGGTAACTTATATCAGGCAATTTTTATGTCATTTTATAATCGGTTTCGGATTTTGGCATGCCGTGGCAAAAAAATCGAGCGGAGAATCGTAAATATCCGCGCATAAAATACTGCAATTTAAACCTCATTAGCCGATAAGCAACGACCGATACGAAGATCGGTATTTGTATGCGCTTAAGACATTGCAACCATATATGCGTATTTGCGGATGTCATCTCGACAAATTTGGCATTGGAATAAGCATTTCCTTCAATTATGCAGATTGTTATATTAACTTTGGAGAACGGTTTCTCCAATGGATATAAAATCCATTTTCTCTGGCACAAAAATTATTCAAAAACTATTGATATCGTGGAAAGTCTTTTAACCAAATACTTTTTACAAAATGTCAACATTTTGTTCTGCAAAATTTTGTTCTGCAAAATTTTTACATGTGAAATTAAGATACTAGTAAAAAATGAAAATACATATTAAATATCTGAATAGATCATTATTTAATGTGCTCGTTAACAATCTAAGTAACAAAAACTTTTTAACTCCCCGAATTAATTAAGAAGTTAATTGGAGCCGTTTTTTACGCGCAGATTCACAGAAAGAGTACATCATTTAAAATTCTCGCAACTATTACTATTAATCGATAGAAATCTTATTGTTAAATTAGAAAGGTTAAATATAACAATTGTCAGTAATCTGTTCAAAATTAACTTATTGTTCACAATATGCTATCGGATAATGCTGTTCACAGTCAATTAACATTAAGAAATTAGTAATTAGTATACAAGCTGAATCTTTCATCAGCTCTTTTACTTCTCGATAAATAACCGAAACTAAATAATGTTGCAATATTGCAAGCAGCAGAAATTTTTGTTTGTAAAAATTTGCCTTACTTGTCAGAAACGTATTGTATTTCACATACGATGAATGACGAAAGCAAGATAACATTAATATATCTCAAGAGAATAAACTCAAGATAACAATTTCTTGTCCTAATTACTTCGACCCAGATTACTTAAAAAAAAAACCAATACCTCGTCAGATCGCGAGAAGAAAAGACTAAATTAGATCGACGAAATGAACCCCGATCATGTCCGTACGTTTCCTTGTACTTTACAGGAAGCGAAAGAGGAGCGCATGACAAGCGTTAAAAATGATCGAGAATTGATTAAGCGAACCTGTCATAAACGTCCCGATTGCGGCAGCGTCTCGTTAACATCTCGCGGAAAATAATTTCACTATCTTTAGAACGCACGCCTGCGAGGTGAGTATGAAACAAACAGTCATTCAACGAGTTGTTACACGTCGTCTGAATTAACGAAGCGCTTATTAATGATCGATCAACAAGATTACGTGATAATTCATGCGCGAATGCATCGGCGCCTGAAACGGCGTCACGCGGCGTCGCTTCTTAATTCGATAAAGTTATAAATATATTGAATATTTCGAATAAATATATCGAAAGATTAACGATCACAACTCGGCGTCTCTCATTTCACGTTAACTAATGAAGCCCGTACGGATATCCGGCTGAATTAAATTACGTCGTATTGACATTATATTGTCACTCCGGACGATATAACGTCAATAAGCGCGGTATTTTGGAAGGTGAAAATTTAATCAATGGCGAAAATATCAGCATTTTTTAACCTAGAATAATAACAGGCTTATCGGCTATCATTGACAATTTTATGCAAACTCGCGCGTCTGCCGATTTTTATTGGTTAAAAATACGTACTCATTGACTCTGCCAAACACGCGACGGTGTCGTTCGCCGAAACATGCAAAATAAAATGTGTGTGGCCGTATCTATTTCGAGCGCGTCCATGTCGATAACCTTGTTAAGAAATGTACGTAAAAGGAATTTAAAAATCCAGAGAATCCTTAACGCATTATACAGTAGCGATTGCATTATCGACGCGCGCGATACGAGATGGAAATATCTCGCAAAAAAGAATCGTCAACAAAATGCATTAATTGCTTAATAAAGCAAAAATTCACAGCGATGAATTCACAAACAGGAAAACTTTTTTTTAGATATGCGCCTGAATATATGATCGAAATCTAATAACAACGGCACGAACGGAAATATTTTTTATTCGAGAAAATTCTAATCTTCGAAACTCGTGCGACAATTTGATAAAAATTTGCTCACGTTTCTTTTGTATCGCAGATTCAAAGAGACAGGGAGAGGGCGTGTTTCGCGCAATTTTTACGATATTTTTATTGAGGAACCAGTTGGTTGGGTCCTTTCAAGGGGAACAGTCGCGTGTTGCACTTCTGACTCTTAATATGATAAACACGTAATAACGCAATATTCGGGACGGGCGGCGATTGATCGAAAGTTCGGCCTTGAACCGCCTTGATAGAATAATCGGACATTTTCGAGAAGCCGGTTCTACGCCGACGTCAACGCCGCAGCAAGTGCGTTTCGTGATGCGAAGAAGCCAAAAAGAAAAAAAAAAAACAAATGACAATCATCGATCGAGAAAATTGCTGACTAAACCGACAATCTTTACAAGTGGCTATCGTAAAAAACAACTGTCGAGACTAAAAGTGCTAAGTGGATGGCAAATAATTTGTTCAGGAGAACGATAAATATCGCATTCTCATAAACATGGAAAATGCGAAGAAAATCGACAGTTAAATATGATCGTTTAAAAAAATACGTGCTCTCACAAAAAGTTGTGACAACATATTAATAATAACGTGAAAACTTTCTCCGAATTTAATGTTATCGGTAACATCTGTTGTTCGATAAAAAAAAGTGTCAACAAGTGAAAACAATAACTAATTTTCCTCGATCGATCTCGTAATTCATATCGCACTGCACAAATCGCGCTTTGTAAGCTGAACTTTGAGTCATTCTCGTGAAAGTATTGACACCGCTGCTTTACTTACTTCGTAAGTCGTGTTTTGTAAGTTTAACTTGTATTTATGAAAATATTGACATCTCTGGTTTATGCATGCCGTTTATTCGAAACGTCGACGTCACGGCTGTCGTGATTAAATAATGATCACTTCGAGCTTACCGCGCATTTCGTTTCTCCATCATCGAAGATTTTTCTCGCCTTTCGCTTTTATTCACTCGCAGACACTAACACTCCTGACATCACGATCGTACAAACGTTTCTTTAGCATTGAGCGCGTAGTCCGATTCGACGGAACGTACAGCGATCTCGATGACTCTTCGAGACTGCGATGTTTTTCGACGATCGATCTCATAGCTGCCTCGAGGATTCGTAATTTCCTGCGCGAGAATCGTAATCTGAGCATAGAATCAATATTCGCCGACGCGGACTTTCCAGGCGGAACTCATTCGAAAATTCTTGTCAGCAGTTCGATCGACAAACCAAACACTCGTGTTGATACTCGTGTTGTTGAAGATTTCCGCCTATTTTTGCGACCAATTCCGCACGCATTCGAGAAAGCTCCGCTTCAGTCACTTGACACTCCGCACTCGCAAATGTAACTCGCCTGCAAAATACTATTCAACATAAATCCCAAGTGATCCGATCGTTTCAATATTTATGATTCTTTCAAAGTGCAATATCTTCATTTCACAGATTTTCAATTTTTCCCAACGTCTCAAAGATTCGAAATCGAAATTGAAATCACTCGTGAAGCACCGTGACAAAGAATTCAAATCACTCAAAATTTAATCACACGATCGTTGAGAAATATATATAGCTATTCGAAAAAAAATCTCAGATTTCAAAAATTCAAATCGCGATAAAAAAGAAATCGCGGTATCATCGTCTTCTTAAGCACCGTCTCCTCCCCTCGAAACCGTCTGCAATTTCTGAATTTCTCCGCGCTATCGCCCCTTCCTCTCTTTTCAGGACCGCTCTAGCCGGCGCTCTATTTGCAGCTCTCCTCCGCGAGAGGGAAAACGCGCGTGCGCTCGCGCGCGCGTCTCGCTCGCGGTAGCGCAAGTCGTCTCGAAATTCTCGCTCTCGCACTTCTGCCGACGTCACCACTTATCGCGTAGGAAAGCACCTTGCATCACGAGTGGCGTGTATCCACGCAGCCGTCACCCAGTTGTCACGGAGTCCCTCTCACTCCCCTCGTCTACCCGCGGTCCGTGATGCCCCTCTTGTGCCGCGTCTAAGAGCCTCCACTCTTTCCATTCCTCCCTTCTCTCATTCGTGCTACGCTCCTCGCTCCGACGATAGACCACCTCTCCTCTTTTTGTTCCTCTCCTCCTCCCTCCTCGTCTACATTGGCCGCCGAACGAACGGCGCGTATGTGTGAGGGTGTATGTATGCGCGCGAAGGCTGGTGCGCGCTCGTACATACACGTGTGTGGCGGGCCGTTACGCACACGCGGACACACTGGAACAGCGGCTTGCAATCGACACACGGTAGATGTGGCGAAATTTTTGCTTAACCTAGTTGGCGACGGCGATTTTTCGATCTTGATCGCTCCGAACGTCTCACCCGTATTTCTCCTTCGTTTGACTTCACAAATTATCCTCACTCCACGTACCACGTTGCTTCCTCACTCGTGATCTTCGATTATTTCTCCGTGATCTTCGATTTTACCTCCGTTATTTTATCGCACTTAACAAAAAGCTTTTACCTTACCATTTTGTACCTTTTGTACCTGTATCTCTCTCTTCGATATCTCCCTTTGGATCGCGCATCAAGAGACTAGAGACTTTCTTTCGCAACGTGATTCAACTAGGCTCGCTTTGATCGAACCGTCGTCGCTACGCGAGAAGAATTCGCACGGTCGTCGAGGCCGAGAGAGCGCACAGACTGACGCGGATTCGGCACGCGCGTGCCGAAGACACCGGGATAGATACCACGAAGAGCTCGAACACGCATAGTCGGACTCGTGCGTCGCGTCGCGTCGCGTCAAGCGCCGACGCAACGCGGCGCATCGCACCGCGCCGCCGCACCGCGCCGCCGCACCGCGCCGCGCGAATGATCGTCACTCGGCTCACTCGCGTCACGTCAACATCCGTACGGTGTGACGCGAGCGAAATCTGAATTTCCGATATTATCTAGAATGATCACCGAACATTCCTCGGCCGTAGATACACTTAATCGAATAAAGATCTGAGTCTTTCCTAAATCACATTGAATAAAAGGAAGAAAAAAAATATCTCATTATAGAGACACAATATCTGTATCAATTATCAATTAATTAATTAATTTCAATAGATGATACTTAGGTAATCTTCTCGAACGATAAAAATTTCTTTTTTTTTAAATTCTTTTTAAACAATGCTGTAACGTTTCTTGCGCAAACGTCGAATTAAGCTTGTCCAATTTGCATTTTATCGTAAAAATACAAAAGTTAAACTGAAGCATTATATTATAATATCCTAAAATGAATCAAATGATTTTCACACATCTTTATAAATTTAAATTCTGTACTTTTCACATATTTTTCTAATACTCCTTTCATATCCCTCTTATAATATAATCACTTAAAAGAAGCAAAAATATATATTCGATAGAAAGAGTTAGATTTAACATCTTCGGTTATCGTTGCCAGTGACTGACAGCGTTAATAATTAATAGTTATTTAGGAATGTGAAAATTATTTTTGCGTAATACATCGTGACAATCGACGTTCAAGCGGAATTTTTATCCAGCGGAAAGTATTCACGCTATAATCTCCAGAGGTATCGATAGTCGGATAACGTGACGCTTCGTGTTCCACTTGCGATGGGAACGTTTATAGGAGTAGTGAATTTCTCCATGCTATCTACGATAGTCTTGGGCTCGACTCAAGCCTTACACCTCGCCAATCACGAAGGAATCGCGCGAACGCGGGCGAAACACGGCGCGGCCGCCGAGCTATACGATTCCTTCGCTTCCAATCGTCCTTGACACACTTCCGCTCGTCCGTCCCGCACGCCGAATCGATGCAATCGCGGAAGTTACGCGCGCAATACCTACTGCTCTTATCCCTCGTACAGAGTGTTCCACGTAAACGAGGAACTGTCCGAATCAACTTTCATTCACGATTCGGATTGAAACTCGCCTGGACAGGATCGTCGAATAAGAGGGATTACTGTAGAAAAGTTCAATCAAAAGAGAAATGGAAAATATAATCTCTGTGGAGTTAGCCTCTCATTTTTTTTTTAAATTAATTTTTTGTCAGAGTTCTGAACGCGCTCCTAAGAGTTCTTGAGCTTCTTCATAAAATTAAAAGTAGTTCAGATGGATTAAGCCCTTTTAGGGGTGCATTCAGAATTCTAATATAAAATTAATGTTTTAAAAAATAAGATGCTAACTCTTCACAGAGATGAAGATATAAACAATTCTTCAGAAATGAAAATTTAGACTCGATCGAGAGAACGAAACATTTCATCTTTCATCTTTCATCTTTCAAAAACATTCAAAAATTTGCCAAAATCTTTCGGAGATCATTGACGAACGAAGAGCAATCACTCTGACAAAAATATCCGCGTTGCGCCAAATGTGTACAACGTGCACGCACGTGCGATTGATGCTCCTTGTACGTCAAGCGTCTTGCTCTAACGCCTCGAGCGCGTTTCATTCGTTACTTCACACATCAACGTGCTTTGGCAATCCTCCTCGTGCTCGCGCGCGTTCTATTCGATTAACTTCTTCCCGAACAACATTAAATGATGAATGATCACCGTTTGCGCGGGACGCACTTGACGCTCCATATTCCCGCGCCGCGGCACCAACGCGGAGCGTCATCATCATCATCATCCTCCGTCCGATCGTCGTCGCGCGATTCCTTTTCCCCGTCTCACGCGCGCACGCACGCAACCAAGTTGCACACACGTCTCTCGCAATCTCCCCCGGAGCCCCGAAGACGGCCGAAGACGTCTCGCTGACGCACGAAGATGCAGAAACGAACGGGCAGCAGACAGGCAGACAAAGCAGGTACCGACACGGCCGCGGCGTGGCCCGCTCCGACTTGGCGCGGCCGAGTATCGCTTGTGGGTCGAGACTCGTATATGCGGGACCTGTACCCCGCGTGTAATATAGGTCAGTAGGCCAGGGCGATCGCGGACGGCAACGCGGACGTGCGCGCCGCGTCGCCTCGCGTCGTGCCGCGCCGCGCCGCGCTGGATCGCGCGCGCAAACGCGCGCGTTCGAACCGTGGCCGCCTGCCCCTGCCCGCCTGGCCTGGCTTGGCCTGGCTCGGCCTGGCTCGGCCTGGCTCGGCCTGGCCTTCTCTCTTTCCTTCCACCGCCGTGCATCGGGGCTTTATTATCTTCGCCCGGAATCCCGCGCGAACGTTTAACCCTTCCGCGACGCACCCCTGCGTGGCGACGAGCCCCGATAAAACGTTAACATCTCTAATAGCGGTCGGCTAGCCGCGAGTGAATTAGCATCGCGTTTTGATGATAATAGCGGTCGGCTAGCCGCTTAGGGATGTTTACGTTTAAACGGGCGCTATTGATCAAGAGAGCTTGTCGCCGACGCCGAGAGTCACGCGTGTCTCGGCGACAAGCATGTGATAGAGATAATAGATATGTAAATGAAACGGTGCGCGGAAAATGAAAATGATGAATGGATCGCGCGCAAGATAGAAAGTGATAAATGATTGCGTGGAAGATCGCCGATCGTGTGACTCTTCCGCGAAGCGAGACGGCACTTTTAAAAATAAGTGGCCCGTGTCTTTTTTAAATTGGAGCGTTACGTGGAAAATCGAAAATATCTGAATAATACATAGAAACAAGAATAATTGAATAATATATAAATCACGTTGTGCTTTATATGTAGAATTTCTATTCAGGGTATGTCGAAAAAAAATCGCGGTCTTACATAAACTTGTAAATTCGTCGATGCACGACACAAATCTCACGCGAGTGAATTAGCATCGCGTTTTGAACATTATTCTACGCTCTTTTTATAATAATATTCAACGTGATAAATATTGCATATGTGGTAAATAAAATATTCCCGACGTTCACATTTTGCAAGAAATAAAGATCGGTTTTTTTTAAAATCCATAAAAGTGGTCCTTGTACCTCTTTAAATACGCATGCAACATTTTATAAAAATAAATGCAATAAGTTAACACCAATTCGTAACCTACAATTTTCATGGTAATTGTAGAAAATTAAGTGTGTTACAGTATGTATAAAAATATATCGTCACAAGTAAGGCGAGCTTCGTTGGAGTTTCTGATCGATATACTGACTAGCAGTATAAAAAGCATAGTCGAAGGTTAATTCCAGAAGATTTTCCGCACAGTTTACGCTTTACTCTTACTTCGCTATTCGATATAATCTCTGAATCTAGATTTTTATTAATTTGACAGTGCGCAAGCAAATAGATAAAAAAAAGCAACTTATCTATGACAAAGAAAGAAATGTCAAAAGTGAAATGCAGGTGTCGAAAAATCCGGGGAAAAACAGGTTAACACCGCCACCCATGTACGCGCTCCTAATACCTCGGATGCCGTTTTGTTTTTAATAATGTCGTACTCCTCGCGCACTTTGTCCGTCGAGAAATTCCGCGGGAAATTTAATTTCGTCGTCTCGGTGGAATAAATGAAAGACATGAATAGCAAGTGGCCAGCATCTCCGAACGACTTAAGTATTTCCAGCGGCGAACTCTCGGCGTAGTGCAACGGCGGCCGTAATCTCCGAAGAAAGGAGCGCGAAGAACAGAGAAAGGAAGAGAGGGATCGAGGAGGGAAGAGAAAGATCAGCGGCGAACTGCGCAATACGCACGTAACACCTACGCGTGAACGTGAAATTAATATCGATAACCGAAATGACGCGATTCGACGCATAAAGTACTCCGGGACTCGGCGTCGCTCCTTTTTTCCCCCCTAATGTTCGCCAGAGAATTAAAGTCCATGCTTACGTCCGAAATAAAAATAAATTATGCGCGCATAAATTTCGCGATTGCGCGAAACGTAACGGCCCGCTTATTTTTCTAATTTCGCCTTAACTAATTTTGACTGTCATCGTCATAAAACGAGTCATTTTGGCACAACTCGCTCTCTTGTCACGCGCATTTTACATACCGTGTATCTGTACTTTTTCTCGTATCGACGATCTTTATATTAATCATATAAAGTTTTGGATTTGATCATATTTAGAACTAATTATAGCTCGAATATACGGGATATAAAAATGTATTCGTCGTTCTTTGGTCATAAAAAAAACTTGCAAATTTTATGATCTAAAATTTCAAATTATTCAAAATGTTTTTTGTCTTTAGAGAACTAATTGTGTGTGTGTGTGTGTGTGTGTGTGTGTGCGCGCGCGCGCGCGCGCGCGGTC